AAGCACTGCATCGATTCTTCATCGTCTGCCCAGATAAATTTTCAAAACAGTCAAAGATTATTCAAACAAAAATAACAATTAGTCATGAAACAAAAATACTAAACGCACCAAAATTGATCCCAGTATTCCCGATGTGAGGGTTAGTCATTAAGACAAACTGGCCCGCATAACTAGGATCTGTAATTATCTCCTGGTACCTGTAATAACAGGAAATAGAAATATCTCATAAAAAAGACACTCAAGAGATTCTGAAAAAGAAAAATAACAGTGGCAAGTAGAAAGAGATGAAAGCAGAGAGGAAATAAATTCATTTTTTCCTGCATTCTCTGAATAACTCTATGAGATAAATCAAGCATCCAAATTATAGGTAGCGGAGATAATATATGCTTGGGATTTACAATGTCAACTTTCCGTCCTTTCTACATTATTTCCCTTTTCACAGGCATTTAGAGACTTCTTTCATTTTCCAAAACGACTCAACTTTGTGGTGTAAGATTCAAAATTTAGATTCCTCTAAATTTAGCAAATATATCCTTGAAAAGAATTTCTCCAAAGAGATAGGAGGTAGATCAGATATTCAATACTAGGTTGGAGTGGCCTCCATGGTGGACAAAATGAGGGAGGTGAGGTTGAGACAGTTCGAGCATGAGAAGCGGAGGAGCACAGATGTCCCAGCTCAAAGCTCCACTAGAATTTGGTCTGTACAGAGGCTACACAGATCGAAGGGAAAGAAATGTTCTTCAACAGCAAGCAAGAAATATAGTTACGGACTAATTTATTAATTGAGCTGAAGTGATTGTCAATGATCTTATAGAAATAAATTTAATGGATTCACAGCTTAAGAAAATTTCAAAAATGTGCGGGGAATGATTCTTCACAAGCCTATAGTAGTTCTATACTAGTTGATTATGAATACTCTGTCTGCCTCCTAAATTGGACAAGACCGAAAACTAAGATAATTTAGTACATAACTTATCCTTTAAGAAGATATATAGTCATAAAGTTAGCAAGCAAACGAAACTGTGTTATACCCAGTTAAAGAGGTATTAAAAACCACTTCTCCAACTTGGGTTCCACGAGCACCAAATGATTTTGCCTTCCAAATTGAACCATCCTCAAGAACAAGTCTAGCATCTGCTACCTTCCAAGGTCTTTCAACCAGACCTGCAGCTCATCCAGGAAAATATATAATCATTTAGAGTTCTAATAGACGCTATTAATTTCAAATAAATCTAAAATAAGGAGAATAAAAGGTCCTTGAGCTCATATTATTTGTGTATGACCTGACAACTACGGTATCTATAAGCAAAAGAAGTCAAAAAGGAAAAGAAAGTCATTTTTTCCAGTCAACCTCCTAGGATTTATTCTTATACTGATTGAACTGCACTATATTCTATTATATATACTTCAGCAAAGTTTTGTCACTTTGGTTGCAGGAAGCCCATATGGATGAAGAATCTAATTTTAAAAATCTAACTGCAGGTGATTTTGGACCAATGATGCTGACTTTTCAAAAACATTGAGTTTTTTTTATGTTAACTACTAGGAGTATTATATTATAGGGGATGAACTGGTCCAACCAAACACTACACTTACATAGTTGAGATGTGAGCAGAAATAACAAATAATGGACAATAATCCAACAACCTAAACAGGAAGGGAGAAAAAATGCTGAACAAAGCATAGCACTTTTTAATAGCTAAGAAAACAACAAGAAAATGCAAATGAATTCAGGGACACAAAGATGGAAAAGAAAGACCAACCAGAAGATGCACCATCCAACGAGAGGTTCTTCGAAGAGCATTTAACAGTGAAAACTCTGGAATGTGCAAAGTTTTTCGAAAAAAGGGCACTGGTCATTGTGGCAGTGGACACAACACTGTGAGTCCTCGCAGCACAATCCATAACTTAGCTTTTGTAACTAAACAATTCTTCTTTCTCCCTCAATTATGATGAAACTCAGCCCTAGTGATAATTTGGGCTTTATTCGGGTTGGACCTATTCATCAAACAATACATACATTATGTATACACATAAACATAGACGGAACCAGAATTTTTAGTTTATGAATTCTGAATCGCAATTTACTTCATTACTACCTACTCAATAGATTATTACTAACTGAAATTTTTAAAACAAATATATATAATCATTCATAGCTTACTAAACTTACTTCAAAAAAAAATCTTCAAAAGACAAAAAAAAAATGGATTCACTACAAATCGTTTTCAGATTATTATTACAAATTAGTACAACATAACAATTTCATGCAAATCAACAGGAACATTACTATCAGATAATTAAAAAACCATTGATTAACATAAATGAAAGTATAACTTACAATTCCGCCCAGAAAATCCGGCAAATGGAATTTTTTCGGCGACAGGTGAAGGTTTGGGGAAGAAAACTTTTGAAGGACAGAAAGGGCTCAATTTCGGCCCATTACATAAAAATTGGGTTGGGCTGAGGTCCTATTCTCAACTGGGTTTTCAAAATATTTCCTTTTTTTATTAGTAATAAGTAATAACATATACTAGCACATTATATTTATAAAATAATTACACTTTTTGTAAAGAACTGATCTAACGTGATAAATAACTATATATGCTATAACTAGTAGAAAATTTCTCTGATCGACCTGGCATTATTTTCCATTATATATATTTTCTATTGAATTTCTTCCCTTCTAAGCTCGATCCTCCCTCTGTCCTCCGCCATGTCCTGTCCCATATGGTATTATAAATGAAGACTTTCGATCTGATGAAGAAATTTTATGATGAAAAGGAAATAAAAATAATAATATAAAATTAATTTTCAAAAACTTTCGCCACTAAATATCAAAATAGATTCATTAAGTCTATATTTCTGAGTTCATTTTGTATCATATGAAAACGATAAAGGTAAGTCATATAACTTTGTTCTAAATACATTCATTAAATCTAGAATTTTGAGACTCATTTCGTACCATACTAAAACAATAAAGATAATTCATATAGATAATGAGTTTTAAAGCTACAAAATTCTATAATGTGAATTTTAATTTATAAATGACGACAATGTTATAAATAATTCTACAATATTAAGTCGTCTTTTAATTAGTATACCAAATAATTTTCTTTATTTTCAAAAATACATATCCAAGTGTTACATATTAATTTCTACATATAAGTTAAGAATTGTTATAGAAGGACTTGCATTAGGCCCGTTTGGATATAAATTCAAATTCGGTGATTTGAAGTTGAATTTTTATGTGAATATGCAATTTTAATTTTATAAGTTTTTTTTCTTATAAAACATAACAATTTGTGAAATTTTTTAATTCCAACTCTATACCATTTTACTAATAAATCACATTTCTCCATATTTCATTAATTTATAAATAAATATTTGTGATTACATGTTATTACAAAGATTAAAATATTCATAATTTTACAAAGATCAACAAGTAAACAATAGTAGTAACTATTTATTCTTTAATAAAATCCTTAGTACACACAATCTCTTCACGTTGAGTATACTTTTTTTTTTTTTTGCAAAATATAAAGTTATGAGTCAATTTTTACATTTTAAAAAAACTATAATAACAATTGGGAATTCAAAATTCTACTTTATGGAGGGTTTGAAATTTAAACTCATGATTTGAAATTGAAATTTTGTGCAGATTTCATAAACAAACGCAGATTTGAAAATCAAGAATTGAAATTGGAGTCCTAAATCATATGGTGTCTCCTAATACTTTATGTGTCTTTCCGGGAGCCGGCTCCTCTCTAATGAATTCATAGAGATAAGAGAAAAGTGTAAGAAAAATTGTGAAAGATTAGTTAATAAAAATATTTTTGACTATCCGATAAAGTTGAGGCCACGTGTCAGTAATCAAGAGGTCAACGGGAGGAACTGGAGGAGGGTTCTGGTTCTGTTTTTTCCATGTCTCAATTTATGAGGCACATTTTCTTTTTTAGTATGTTTATTAAAGAATGTTAAGTATTTTTATTATTAGAACAATTAAACTAATGAGACATTCCTCCGCTTTCAGGCAAAAATGAAGATTAAAAATAACAAGACCGTTCAAGTTCATGTATTTTCAAATTGAATGGCAAAATGACCTTAAACGAGACATATAAAGCGAGTATATATCCATCTATATTAAATTGCGGATTTCAATTGGACAAAAAAAAGTTTCCTATAGAAAATAGATAAGAGAATCGAAGAGAGGCAAACACGTTTTCGAAATAGAAAACAAAATCTAGGACATATGAACAAATTGGTAGACGCTACGGACTTAATTGAATTGAACCTGGTATGAAAATTTACCAAATGATTACTTTCAAATTTGAAATTAACTGATAATTTCGAGTCAACCCATGTTTCCTTAAATTTGTTTTGGAGCATAAGTCTCAAAAATATTTCCCTTTTTCTCATTAAAATTTGTCTCAAGTCAAACAATATCAACTATCCAAGTAAAATGTCATGGACATGTAGACTACCACTTATTATGAATATAGTTGTAATTACTTTTTTAAGTAATCTAATAATATTAGAAATTAGTTTGACGTTTCATATTTTCTTACTCAACAACACTGAATTAAGTAAATAAATCACATAAATTAAATATGTTTAGTCAGATATTATTAGAACCAAAATAAGAATTTATTCGATATTTCAAGTAATAAAGAGGAACAAAAATAAAATAAAAGAGTAAACAAACAAGGTGGGCGCACAAACAAAAGTTCAAAACGGCCGAATAACAATTTATAGCAAAACATAGAACAAAGCTGTTCTGTTTTTGTTTTTTCTCTATCAACAATGCTCCTCTGTTGTATTCTTCCTTCTGCAGCGACAGATATTATCGGATTTTCCGATTCTCTAATTCTTCCATATTTATAAATCAAATCAAATTCTCAATGTTATTGCTTCGATCTCAGCAGGTAATTTCTTCTTCATCTTTCTCAAATTTTAATTAAGTTCATTTTCTTAGTGGAGATCCAGAAAAAAAGGTTGTAATGGGAGAGATCGATACGAAATCAATTGAATCAGTCCACGCTGCACTTTCATTGTTCGGAGAGAAATCATGTGATCACAAGAAGAAATATAGATCCACTTCATGTATCAATGTAAGCCAATTGGCCAAACTTGCTTCACGAAATATACTCATGTTTACTAACTTTTGTGCTTACTATAACGGTGTTGATGAAATATCATAGTAAAATATAGATTGGCTTGAGTTGATTATTTTTTCGATCAAGTTTATTCGTTGTTCCCTCAAGATATGTTTGAGACAGAAGCGTAGCTTTTGTTGTTGTAAGACTAGAATTAAAGTATATAAAGTGCTACTCTCATCACTCTAATTTATTATAGTTTGAATTGACATGGAGTATAAGAACAAAATTCAGATTTTTGGAACTTATGATCTTAAGCATGTCACAACATTTGTGTGTGATTATATAACTTTTGAAACTTCTGTATTTAAACATGTCTTCTTCTTTTTCTTACAACCATGGTGTCCACACTAGCTTGTGCGCAGTTATAAAAAAAAAATCAGAATGAGAAGATTTGAGTTAATTTTTCCAAATCTAGATGTGTTTAACTGATATATGTGAGATACTATGTTCTTTTAACAAATTGATAATCTTAATAGCCAATTTACAATGCCTGATTGGATGTACTTGAAGCTAATTATTCGTTCTTGTTTTTCTTTGAATTAACAGGAGATGGAGAAAGAAAATGATACAGAAAGTTTGTTGAAATACTTGGCAAACCTCAAAGTTCAACTTGAGGCGAAGGATTCTGCACACAAGCAAGCACTTCTTAAGCTAGACCATCACGAAAATACAGTTGATGAGCTATGCACTTTGCTAATGAGCTCTGAACTAGAGAAGGAGATTTACATGATCGAATGTAGAGGATTAAGGGTTCATGTACATGAGCTTGAGTCGAGAATTCAGGAGATGGATGACCGATTTTTGGAGTCTGTAATGATACGAGAGCAACTCTCACATGCCACCAATGAGTTGAGGGACACACAAAGAGAACTAGTGGCAGCAAGAGATGCTAAGCTTGAAGCCTTGTCACAAGTAGAAGTGATGGAAAATTCTTTGAGCACCGAAAAGTTAAAGACTGATGAGCTATCGCGGGATGTGTCAAAGCTGAATGAGACTGTTGCGCACTTGAGAATGACTGCTACTAAGGCAGAAGAAAGCGCTGCGCTTTTGGAATTAGAAGCAGCAAATGCTAAAGAAGAAGTTGTGTTTATGAGACATCAATTGGAAATGATGCAGGATTTAGAGAATGAGCTATTGGACAAGTTTGCACTTATTGATTCAATGAAAGCAGAACTCCAAGAATTGAAAGAACTTCGCGCTTCTTCTGAGGAAGTACCTTCAGATGCCGGTGCTAGTGAGATGAAAAAGTTAAATGAAGCTCTCGAATTACAAGAGAGAAAAAATTGGGATCAGTCCGGTTATATCAGTCTATTGGAATCAGAACTCAGGCAATTAAAAGGGGAACTGAACAAAGCCAACGAAGAGTCTATTCGTGCCAATGCAGACTTCGGAACAATTAACATTGAGCTGGAGCAGATTAAAAAGGAAATGATTGAGACTAGAGAAAAGGAATCAGAAGCACAAGTTGAGATCACATTCCTAAAATCCGAGCTTCACAAAGGGAAGTCGAAAATTTCAGCATCAGAGGTTACTGATTCAGTAGCCAAGAGTGAGAAATCAGCTTTACATCTCGCATTACAGCAGCTGGCCTTAGAGGCTGAAGAGGCTAAAAATGAAAACAGGAGGTTGAAAGAAACCGGTAAGGCATCAGAAGAGGGAAAAGTAGAGGCTAAGGCCTATATGACAATACCAAAGGAGGAGTATGATCAGTTACATGATGAACCAAATGAAATTCAAGTACTGAAGAAAGAACTAAAAACAGCAACAGTGAAAATTAACGAGTTGAGGACGAGAGCTGAGCAGGCGATAAGCAGAGCTGAGGCAGCTGAAAAGGGTAAATCAGCACTTGAAAATCAGATAAAGAGATGGAAGGAACATAAAGAGAGAAAAAAGGCTGCATTAGCAGCACTTAGAGAGGAGTCCATTTCCAGAGAAATCACTGAATACAAATATGATACTTCTCCGAAAACACTACAACCTCTTGGTAAGGTTCTCAAGATGAAGTTCTAGTTTCACCAATCTATTGCATAACTTTCCTTTTATAGGAATATCAATGATATCCACAATCATCGTATGGACGATAGTAGTACATAAGTGACGCCTTCCTCTTCAGTACCAATCATAATTGCCTCGCGTAAAGACAGAAGAAAGAAAACTGACATCGGTATATCTTTGAAAGCTCAAACGGAGGGAATAAACTGACTCATCTAAGGCTACTGAAGCCACTTTAGAGCAAAAAAAAAGGTTTTATGTAATGTATAATTTTGCTAGTATGAAAAATGGTAGTACAATGTGATTTTATTGATCTTGTTACTTCTATATCCCATTCTCTTGTAACTTGTTACTTGTTTTTGGTTTAAAATAGATATAAGTATTTAAACATGCTATGTATACTGGGAATGTTATATTAATTGTATGGAGAAAAAGTTATATAGCTGGGAAGAATTATATGAGGGATTGAGGGGAAGAACAATCCTTGAACAAATTATTTTAAAAAGGACCATAATTTTAAATTTTACAAAAGGAGGACTTATGCTTGGTGTCAAGAGATTGTTTGTACCATATGAAAATATATAAAAGAACAATTAGTTACTACTATTGTTGACACGTGAATTTTTATAAAATTTTGTATATTTGAAAGTTTAAAATCATAAATATTTATTTATAAAAGGAACATGGAGATATGTGATGTCTGAGGATATACCGATATCTTATTTATAAACTATAATTTGTTCATTGAACTGATTTGCTCATTGGTAAGATTGTGTAAGAATTGAGGAAATTTTAATAGTTTTCAAATTCTGTATGGTTTTCATGTCTATTAGGAAAAATACAATTTAAGAAATCAAATTTGCATGTCCAAATAAAATGGGAAACTTACATAAATATACTATAATAAAAAAATATTTACCATTTATAGCAATAACATTTCTTTTTCACTTGATCACTTTTAATACATTTATAATACAGATTACAAAAAACAATTAATTATTCACATATAATACAAGTTTTATTGATGGATAATACATTTATCACACATTTTAATACACTTATAATACAATGTGTCAACTTCTTACCAAAAAAAGCATAATATATTAAAAAAACAATTATAATACATATATATCATACATAATTCACTTTTAATACATATTGCATATTTAACATAGTATTGTTATGTATTGCTAAAAATGGTAATAAATAAAAAATATCAATAAAATTCGTAATTATTTTTTAAAAGACATCCATCCAAGTAATTTTTCCTTCCAACTTCAAATCAATCTGGTTTCAATTCACTTATTTTAAATTATGATTCAAATCATGTCCAAACGAGGCCTAAGATTAGGACGTTGGATGCGATATAGATGAGTTTGTAATAGATCTTATTGGGCCAACAACTTGGGCTGAGCCTAAAAGGTTGGACTGAGGGATCGCAGCCCAAAAGGCTACGTCCTTCGCATATGCATTTGCAAATTTTCGGATCTCTCTAAATTTCTGCAATTATTAAAAAAATGGAAAAATTGCTTAAAAGAATCTTGCGACCCTTTCGCTATTAGAAATAAATATTTTCTCCATAGTAAATCATTAAAAATTTGTGATATATAATATGATTTTACCCTCACCTAATGAGCTCAGTAGGAACATGTACGGTGGGAAATAAATTCGCACGAAAATAGTGAAAAATCCTAATTTTTTATATGAAAATATTAGTATTTTTCTTTTCTTTTCTCACCAATTAAATCAAATTATTTGTGTATATAACCCTAATAGTATGTTTCATCGAACCTCAAATCAATCATCAATTTCCTTTTTATTTTGCCATACATAGCCTCAAAAATGGAAAGTCGTAGAGAATATAGACTCACCAATCAAGTGGAATGGAATGAGATAAGAATCTTTGGAGATCTTTCCTATCCACTTACTCGTGGAGTAGTTGCTCTAGAATCGGTTCTTCGATAGGATCAATGTACATATGAACCCAAACATGAAGTTTGTCTAAAAACAAAATTTCATCCACATTTTCAACGATATTGTCTTGGTATATGTTTAATGAATTACCCAGAAATAGAGATTACTACTTATGATTCTTTATCCCACCAATCAAAGATCTCGAAGAGTCTTGGGGGGGAAGGATTGGTTTAAAAGTAGAAATGGTCAAAGGTCAATGGGAAAGTGGTAGATGTAATCTTGTTGAACACAAGCACTCTTTTAGTCCTTTGAACCATTTTTCTCCATTATACACTCTGTGTGTTTTTTGACCTTAAGACAACTTTTTTTGACAAATATACATTACTTTATTAGTCATGGATCACTACCATTTTTGTTTACTGGATTTTAAATATATTTTATATAAGGTTTGAGTTACAACTATAAAGATTACTTCTCATTTCTTAAGATAGCAAATTAATGTTAGTACATAGAATAACTTACAATTAAGGGTGGATCCAGTGTACGATATGTGGATTTATGAGAAGTCGAAATGAATAACTTTTGTTTATGTCACATATTGTATATGTATTAATTTTTTTATTGAATATTTATAATAAATATTTAATTATGAACTCAATTATTATGATGGTATACTAATTTGAGATTGTTATAGAAAATTATAAATTTCAATAAAAAAATTCACCTTTACCTACAATAGTCTTTTAAATGTATGATGCTGTAAAAGAAATCATGCTATAGTTATATTTCCTAGGGTTTGTATGGTTTGAGGATTAGTTGTACTATTAGAATTAGTTATTCTGATGTTATTTCTTATTGACGGTTTGATTTGTTGTATTAAAATAACATGCCTAGTGTGATTTTAATTTTAAAAAAGATGTTATATTGCAAATTGAAATATCTTCCACTTTATTTTAATAAAGAAAATAATTTGAGGACCTTAAGGATATTTTTATTATTTGCATTGCCTTAATTATTCCAAAATAATTAATCTTAGTACTAATAATCCATACTCTAATAAGAATGAATTATCTCGATACAAATTAATATCAAAGAAGGAATAAAATAGTAGAGTAGATACTAAATTTTTTATTTCAAAACTATCTTCATTTATCACCAAATTAGCCGTGTATATTTTTCCTTTTGCCTTGTGTGGGAAAGGCATATATATAATTGTCCCCACAAGCCAAAATGGGAATACATTTTCCCCCTTAAGATAGGCTATTTACGTCAAATTCAAACCCCACCATTCCAAAAATTTCACTCATTCGAATTTCGACTATGAGTTCAGTTGAATTCAATAATTTTAACATATTATCTCCATAATTCATTAAATACATATATATATATATATATATACACATATTATCTCCATCTCATATTAGTTATCTACTTTTTCTTTACATGCTTCAAAAGAATTCATAAATAAGAAATGTAGTAATTTGGAGTAACTATTTTTAATAATGTAAAAAACTAATATGAGACCGATAGAATATTAAATTTAGAATCCAATTATTAGGACTCAAAATCATTGTTCTAAATCCAAAATCCATAATATTTTACCTTTACGTAGATTCACTTGATATAGTTTTTCTCTTGATTCCAACTTATTTTATATGAGCACAACTCCAAGTCTCCAATAATAAAAAGCTTTAAAAAGGAGGGGAAAAAATCAACAAATTCTAAATTCAGCGGTTCTAATGAACTCATTATAAACTAATCCAATTAACAACATGCTTTCATAGTCTAAAAATAATATTTTCAAGTAATGGCCCATAATATAACCTAGTAGTAATTAATTAATAAAGTCTTTATTTTTATTTATTTATTTATTTATTGGTAATGGAGCATCAAAAAGAAGAAGAAAAAGGCAAACAATATGCTTCTCCTTTTCACTTTTTTTTTCTTTTTATTTTATTACTCCCTCCGTCCCATTTTATGTGGCACTTTTCGGATTTCGAGATTCAAACAAGTCTATCTTTGACCGTAAATTTTTCATAAATCTTTTAAACATTTTGAATTATCAATTATTGTGACTTGTAGTACTTTTTACGTAGTTTACAAATATATAAATTTCATTTCAAAAAATTGAAGATTTCATGCGCAAATTTCCGGTCAAACTTAAACTGTTTGACTCTCGAAAAACGAAAAATGCCACATAAATTGGAATAGAGGGAGTATTTTATTAAATCAGCTTCTGGATTGTTCCTTGATGTCCGCTCAAGACTTTTGGAATTTTTTGAGCATCATGAAATTGGAAGTTGGAACTTTGACATCATGAATTACATTTTAGGAAAAAGAATAAAAGGAAATCCAACTTCCAATTTCATATTATTATATGTATATATTCCATGCATCTTCTCTCTTTAATTTCCCTTTTTTTTTGTTTCCTTTTACATAGCTGATACTCACTTTGAGGTTCAATTAATCCAAATTCACATTAGAAAACTCACTTTAGAAGTACAATATTCTCTACACAAGCGCGACTTCATATTCAAATAAAAATTTAAATTTTTTAATTAAAAATAGAAGAGTATTTATCAGTCGACGACTATATCTAGAGCATTACAAAGTACATATTTTCTTCTATATATGGACCAATAGTTCATGTGAAAAAGAGATATTATAGAAGGTCAGATATTGTATGAAATTATTCTAATAAAATTTATTCATAATTTATTTTCGTTTACTGCACCCACCTATCTTAAAATCTCAAACATATTAAATGAATACCAACCTTAGAAAAAAAAATAAAAAAAAAATCTCAAACTCTTCCCATCCACAAAAGAAATCTATATGTCTTAAATTTTTAAATTTTAAACGTGAAATTAAGGCAAGCCAACTACTGGAGAGTGAAATTTGAACGAACAGAATTCAATTTTTATTTTGCTAAAAATTATTATTCTCTCCATCTCCATTTCAATTTATCTAAATTTGATTCAGAGTATAAGGTCAAACTAACTTATTTTTATATGAATTTGAATATATAATCTTTAAAAAATTTAAAATAATTTTTTTACATTTAAAATCTACATGATTAATTATTCAAAATATTTTCAAAAAAT